GGCAGACATACCCCTTTAGGGATATAAGCCTCCAGATTGGAGATTTCTTTCGGCTAGGGTTACAACCTACCAAAGATGAAGTAAAACCAAATGCTCAAAGTACCAGAACGAAGTGGATAAAACAGGCTTTAAGCCTAATATATGAGGAAGAAGAAGCATAAAGAGAAAACTTGCAGTAAATTTGGTGACTAGAGGCTCTGAAACTACAAAGTTCAAGCATCGAAACCTACAAAATCTAAACAAATCTATCGAGAAGCTTCTAGAGAAGTTACAACGTAGTCCAAAGTAGCTACGGGACTGTGGGTTTTGGTTTTATAGGTTCCAATGCTTGGACTTTTTAGTTTCAGAGTAAGGGCTCGATAAATTTGCGGCATCTTGATGACTAAGGAGTCATCAAGAATCCGCAAGTTTTCGTTTTTATTGTATTCCTATATTGGTATGCTACATTTGTAGTAATGCTTTCATAAGTCTTAAAATTATCCCAAATTTAATGTGCAATATCTCGGCCAGGGAAGGTTCAGATATGTCGCAATATGGCCTCACATATTCTGACCTTTGGGTACATATTTGCCAGCTTGTGTTATCATTCAATGTTTGCATCGCAGAATCACATTTACGAATGGGTAAGAGATCACAGAGTGCACCATAAATTTATGGACACGAATGCGGATCCGCATAATTCGAAGAGAGGCTTCTTCTTCTCGCACGTAGGCTGGCTGATGGTCCGCAAGCATCCGGACGTTATTAGTAAGGGAGCCACGATCGACATGAGCGATCTCGAGAAAGATCCTATCGTCGTCTTCCAACGTAGGTACGGCAATTTGTCATCGACGCAGATATTATTTTCGAAGATGGGTTGATAAAGTTTCACTTGTATTATCATGTATTCTTTCTTAAAGAAAAGATTATCATCCGGTTTCAACAAAATAAATTTCTACGTATACGTAACAGGTACTACGCTGTTCTGATGCCTCTTTTATGCTTCGTGATTCCCATGTTGGTACCGATCTACTTTTGGAACGAGAAACCCATATACGCGTGGTACGCTGCCGTTTGGAGATACGTAACA